TAAGACAGGCGACAACACCAAGTATACCTTTGATCATGGGTCACAAATAAATTCGATCCTGATGAAAAAAAAATCATCTTTTTACAAGGTTTTATTAGCTTTATTCACGCGCCATCATGTTAGTACAGCTAAATGAAACGATAATTTCATAAAAAATATCATGAAAATACTGAAACATAAAACCAGCAGTGGAATGACTGAATTGATATCACCTGACCTGAGCTAGATAAAGGTCAATGTACGCGCGAACACAAATTCGCGCGGCCCGCAACTAGCGGGCCTTCCAACAATACCTAATAATTTACAACACGTGTCTAAATACCTAACTTATCTACTTAACCTACTATTTTGCCACTGTGCTTATCTCCACGTAGCCACTTTAATCCGAATTTACAGGTTAAATAACCCAAATAACTGTTCGATTCCCCGCTAATGAAGAAATACTTAAATGAAATGTAACCAAGGTTGGAGTCATGCGTTTTTATTCATCGTGTAGGTATGTTTATTATTCTCGTGTATTCAGTTATGTACCTATTCAGATTAGTCTAGTACTAAGTTATTTAAAAAAAAATAGTTATGAAACAGCTTACTGCTCTAAATCCTCCGTGGTCTTATGAGATGCGGCTCAAATTGTGCTCCATTCATTTCAAGGCAGACTTGGGTGCAGGCGGGGCATCATCGTGTGGTCTTCGACACAGTCCGTACGTAGTTTCTCGAAAGCATCCACGATCCTTTGGCGCATTTCTTCAGCACTATCACATTCACGATTAAAAACCCTTTCTTTCACATACCCCACAAAAAGAAGTCTAACGGAGTCAGATCTGGTGAGCGAGGTGGGCAAGCGTGTGGTCCTAGTCTGCCGATCCAGCGATCATCAAATAGCTCATTGAGGCGCTCACGGACGAACCTCACGAAATGTGGAGGGGCACCATCATGTTGGAACTATGTGCGGCGATATTCAGCCAACGATAGGTCGTTTAAAATGTCAACCAACTGTTCATTTATAAAGTTTAGGTATCGCTGTCCGTTCAGTCGCTCTGGCAGAAACACTGGTCCCAGTATGCGATCCTTAAATAAACCTGTCCATACGTTAACCGACCATCGGGTTTGGTGCCCGGTTTGTCGAACAGCGTGCGGGTTAACCTCTGAATACACGTGTGTATTTCTTCGGTTCCACAGGCCGTTTCTGGTAAATGTCGACTCATCCGTCCAGATAATGTGCTCAATGGAACCAGGCACACGTTGTTGCTGATATAATAACCAACGGCAGTATAATAACCACTATAAACGTACGCGTTAGGCATTATTAAAACAAAAAAGAATCCAAAAACGTAACAAAAACTTTAATATCAACACGTAATCACAAGTAAATTTATTAAACAAAACGATTGAACTGTCGCTCGCGCACGCGTGTACAAAATCAACACGAAACTGTCTCAAAAACTAAAACCAACGAACCCCGTCAAGGCTGAAAATTACTGCGTCACAAGCGTGAGGCGACAGGGTTAGGCATTCTGCCGTCATAATAAAAAAGGAAGTAACTAACAAAAACGTAAAATGGAAATAAAAAATAAATTGATGAATTTTTCTTTCAGACCCCGTGTCTAAAGTATATTAAAAGGTATCTATATTGAAATATATACGTAGAGACATAAAGATTTTAAGGACGAACTCATTTTTTTTTAAAATTTGTTTATTTATTTAAATAAAACGAATTTTCCTTTTCATCTTAGCTTAAAAAATACACCTGGCAACACAAAAACATCGAAGGAAAGACGCATATAACTATTTGCGTCTTTCCAACCTAATAAATTAAAAAAAAACTGCCATTCATTTAACAATTTTACATATTTTGGAAAGGTCATTTGAAGTTGAAAGGACGCTAATAGTAATTTACTACTTTTTTTTTTAATAAATATTAGAAAAGCATTGGTAGTGAGACACAAAAAATAATAATTTTAAAAAGTAATGATTTTAAAGGGGATATCATACAAGACTTACTACGATAATAATTAAAAATTAAAAATTTTGTACAACCGACTTTAATATAAATAATTAAGGATAACTCAAAAACTATTGGTCTGACCTCGATCAAATTTATATGGGACCACATGTGAAACACCAGCTCTTAACAATAAGATATAAGCTCTTAATAATAAGATATAGAATAATAAGACAAGACCAAGAATAATTGAAATTTAAGTAATCGATGCAAATATTGTTAAAGATGACGTAGCAACTGGTTAAATAAGTCTTTTCTTTTATGTTGAATTTGTATAAGTCTTTTCTACTAAAAAAAGTCATCTGTGATCAACAGTTACGTCTAAAATTCTTACGATAATTTCTAAAATATTGATATTTGTGAATATTAAAAAAATTTAGTAGATGCGCCTTCTTATCATGAATCGAATGGTATATTTAACTCATTTATTCATAAATTGTTAGATGCGCCCTTTTTTCTTACGACCGCGTGTTTCGTACCGAGCTAGATACAGGTCGATAGCGGAGGGGGTGTGGGTACAATCGCGTTCTAAAGTACTACATGGTATTGGGCTATTGTTTTATAATATTATAGTAATTAATTGTTTTAATGTAGAATCATAGTAGGTGTTTTACTAGCTACTTAGAACTTTGGAAGAGGTGGGAATTAAAAATGGATAATGTTTACATGAGCATTATTTGTTATTTCTATCGTAAAATATAAAGTAGTTTGTAACAAGAAAACTTTAGCTAAGGGTAACACGCCGTCCATTATGACGTCTTGGGTCACATGGAAGCCAGATGTTAATGGTGTGTTGGTGTTACTGGATGCTACTTGATCATCACTTTCATCTTCGCTTGAGCTTCCGTCATCAGGTCGATCACATGGTAATTTTTTCGGTATTCTTCCTCCACACTTTTAACTTTACTGCACAATTTTCCCCATTCACCTTCTCCTATCATATTTACCTTTTCGATCACTAGTTTAGTCATAAAACAATAGATATAAATAATTTTTCTTTCCTTCCTTTTTAAAACATCGTCGCGAGTCGCAAAGTAAGCTGTGTATGCGACTGTATTTTTGGAGCGAACAAAGCGCCGGAACCAATAGCATGCAGGCACACTAATACTGGCGGATTGTTCCCCCGTCGCGCGCCTTTCGTACCAATATGTGATAAATCGCTCAGTGCCCAAGTTCAAGGCCAGCGTTTGTTTTTCACCGTTCGCGCGTACATTAACCTCCATTAGTCAGGTGATATCAATTCAGTTTCCACTGCTGGTTTTATGTTTCAGTATTTTCATGATATTTTTTATGAAATTATCGTTTCATTTAGCTGTACTAACATGATGGCGCGTGAGTAAAGCTAATAAAACGTTGTTAAAAGATGATTTTTTTTTCATCAGGATCGACTTTATTTGTAACCCATGATCAAAGGTATACTTGGTGCTGTCGCCTGTCTTAGTTTTCGGGAGCGTTCCAAAAATACCCTGTATATCTCGATATATCTTCATCATTTGCATGATGCAAAGATAAGGTCCAAAATTTTATATGACTGACGGTTGGACGACGAAAGAAGAAAAAACGACAGCCAACCACACATCAACACTTTTGTACCTCCTGTTGTTGTTACATGTTTTGTCATTAATCCAAATATAAACATTAAATTCAAACATTAATCCAAATACAAAATAAACATTTCAAAATATATCGAAATTGATACGAATTCGATACTCTAAAATAAATATCGATATATCGCGATTTAAAATATCAACGATATATACTTTTCGATATTTCGATATATCGATATTTTTAGCCCAAGCCTATTCTAACGAAGTTTTCACTTCAAAACAAGAATCATTAAATTAGTTTCAGCCGTTACCGAGAAATAAAAAAATGTACATAAAAATACACACGTCGAAAATATCACCTTCCCTTTTTTGAACTCGATTTAAAATCACATTAATATTTGTGTTATTTCTGTTTCAGATAATGGTAAGGGTTTGAACTTATCCGTGTTTTTTTTTTATTTTGTACACAAACAATATTTGAACCATAATATTTGAAGTCTGTCGCACGCACTTTTCACGTATACGTGATAGAGCTATTCTGCACCTATAGTATGGCTGTAGCACGAATGAGTCCGCTCGACCGCTGTAAGACCACCCTAGGACCAGTGTAGCGTCGTCTTCAGCAGCAGCGTCTTCTTAGTAAGATATAAAAAAAAATCTGCGGTTGCCAACTCCTGCCAAACGTGGCAACTATAGTAAAGGGGCATATTTTATATGACTGACGGTTGGACGACGAAAGAAGAAAAAACGACAGCCAACCACACAGCAACACTTTTGTACCTTTTTTTTATAGGATAAGGTTGACAAACGAGCACACAGTCCACCTGATGGTAAGTGGTTGCTGCGGCCCATAGACAATTACATCTATCCTTTGTTACAAATCAAAATGTAGATGCGTTGTCACCCGTGAAGACTAAGATGGAATCCCTCATTTCCAGTACAAAGGGCCTCTGGCCACCTGCACTCACCAAGCGAAACGCAGCGGTAAGCCTCTACTTCACGCTGGTTTTCTGTGAGGTCGTGGTACCACCCCGGTTCGAGCCGGCCCATCCGTGCGACAGCAAAAGCTGGCGCGTGACTCTACCACTGTTAAAAGTTAAAGTTACGGTCAATTCTCAAGTCAACTGCGAGCAGCCGAGCAAACTAGTTCTTTGTTTTGTAAATCGCGCACATTGTTTTCGACTACCTACCGATTTTGTTTATTGTGACTAAGAAAACGCTGTCATTATTTATGTGCGAACTTTGTCAACGTGATTTGAAGTTTATGACTATATGTTATTAAGATTGATACTGTATGTATGTAAGTATGTAACTTTATTTCGTATTAGCCTAAAAACAGTAACTGTCGTAAATGAAAATTCAACACGGCATATTTATTGTGCCGTCCATGCCTGTGCCGGCGTGACCTACAGGTGTGACACAGTTTTTGTGCTGAAATTCCAGTCTGGTAGTACACAGTAGTCTCTGTTCACAACATTTGCTCATCACCAGTGATCAAGGCACGTCGTTTAACGGCGTCATTCACTGTGGGCGGCCACTTCGATCGGACTATGAACTACACCTGTGACAATTGCAAGATCAGCGACATCCTGTGTAACGGGGAGAGTGTGCTGGCTGCCGGACGGGTTTCCGTCATCGAAGTCTCCAAGATGATCAGCTTTAACTTTCCTAGGTGAGTGTGATTGGAAGTAATGTTTGTGGTTTGTAATCTCGTCCAGATCGAATTTCGGTCTTGGCAGCTTGTTTCAACGGTGACTGATCAAGACAACGGATCTGCACTGGAATGGATTATAGTGGCCGAGTGTGTGCGTAAGCTCAGGTGCACTTTCTATTCCCTCACTCTATATATTATTATTTTGTATATTTTTATTTTATATTATGTATATTTATATTGCACCACCAACCTGGTATTCATTGTTTTATTATTATTATTATTATTATTATTAAGTGGCGAAGCTTGCGAAGTCACTTATTGATTTCACGATGTCTGTCCGTCTGTCCGTCTGTCCCACGATTATCTCGAGAACGGTTTCGAATTTTCAAATTCTTTTTTCAGCAATCGATTACTGATCACCCAGGCATCTGAACCTCCTATTTTGAAACTGATTGCTCAACGGCAACCGTTGGAAACCGCTACAAAGCTGATTGCTTCGCCACTTTGCTATGCTGTTAGATTGCTAGGTTTATTTATTCATTATTCAGGTAATTACACCCACTTTGTTAGTACACTTAAAACTAAGGGTTAGTAAATTTACAGAATACAAATTATTATACATTACTAAAATTATCATTTCTTGTTAAACATACTGGGCCTGGAACCCATATGCACTGTATTCCAGTGCCTCATCACAGGGCAATCTTGCCTTCCATATATGGAAGCTAGAAGGCTGTTAGTGCTGTCTCGCACGCGACGCATCAGCGAGGCTATTCTTTTACGCAATATTGTTGCAAAGCTGTCCACGCGTGCCTCGGCAAACATGCGTGATGCGCTGCAAAAGCGTGGCAGTCCCAACAACATCCTGAGTCCATTGTTGTATTGAATACGCAGCGCATTAAGAGTTCGGCGGGTACACTTTGCCCACAGGCTGCAGGTGTAGAATGTCTGACAGTAAGCTTTGAATAATGTTATCTTAAACCTCATTTGTACACCTAGCAAACCTGCGGGCAAGCATATTACACCTCACTGCCAACGCTCTACGTTCTCGTTCAACATCATAATCGTCAGAGAGATCCACGGCGACCCAGTGTCCCAGATATCTGAATTTGGTGACTCTACTCAGTGTAACTCCTCCAAATCTAACATGAGGGACAGACTTAGGTTTTTTTTTATTTCCACCCTTAAAAACGAGTAGTTCGCTCTTTTTAGAATTATAGAATTTATATAATTTTATTTAATTATTATTTTTAATTTAATTATAGAATTATTTAATTTACATTTTTGGTTGCTTGGAAGAGATCGCTATGTAGCGATAAGGCCACCAAATTGTACTTATAATCTACATTTTGTTATGTTATTTGTACATTTGTTTCTGGTGTACAATAAAGCACATTCGTTCATTCATATGTCGCAACACAAGTACCTATTATCAATTACTTACTGGGGACGTCTCATTTACAATCCATGTAACTGTTTTGTGACAAATAAACATTTTCATATATCGTGCATAGCTAATAAACTCAAAAACTAAATTACCACGTAGAGCTTTGAGAGAGAGAGAGATCAAGAGCCGTGGTAGCTCAGCTGTAAATTTACTACGTACTCGGCGGTGAAGGAAAACATCGTGAGGAAAGCTGCACGTCTGAGAAATAAGAAAAAAAAATCGAAGCTATGATGTGAAGTTCGCCAACACGTTTTGGGGTAGCGTGGAGGACATTTTCTTGCCCTCATACCCTCTCAGAGATGAGAGAAGGCATGTGCTGACACAGTGGAACGTATTTAGGCTGCAACTTCACAACTTTAAATCACTACGATTTTCAATTGATTTTCAGGTTCGAAGACGAAAACTCCTGCGTGTACATGGGCTTCTTCAAAGTGAATAACAGGGTTTTCAAAAAGGTTTTAGCGGTCATTGATAGTGAGTATATGAAATTCCGATAATATATTCTTTTATATACTAAAACTAGCAATCTGCCGCGGTTTTGCACAGGTTATTTGTGAATCTCAGTAACAATGCCCCCTATCGTGTCCTATTGTGAATCTAAACCATCCATTCAACACACAAAAAATTAATCAAAATCGGTCCAACAGTTCGCAAGTAATGATCTTCAGAAGAATTTCATACCTTCGGCAATTGCTTTTTAGGGTTCCGTGCCCAAAGGGTGAACAGAATAAGTATTTCTGTTGACACTGTAAAAAAATAAAAATAAATTAAAAATTAAAGGGGGCTCCGCTACTAGAAACGTTTGTGATGGTACGGAATCCCGCATTCGCGAATCCGACTCGCACTTGCCGGGTTTTTAATTTATTTTATTTATTATAAACGGCTTGACCAATTTTGAAGACTTTTATGGGGGCCTTATGGGCTCACCTGGATGGTATCAAACTATAGTTGGACCCGGTAGACGGCTCTGTTGGAGAGATTCAAAAATCAGCTAGTTATACTGTTTGTAACAAACAACCCGGTGATCCTTTTAGGGATGTATAGATATGGCATTGTCGGTAATTCTGGTTCTACTGTAGATATCCTCATTTAAAGAGTAACCGACATAGCCCAAAGGATTAGTAAGCTGAAGTGACAATGGGCCGGCCATATAGCTCGACGAACCGACAACCGACGGGGAAAAAAGTTCTCGGGTGGTAGCCTCGTACCGGCGAATGAAGTGTACGGTGTCCCCCCGCTAGATGGAGTTACGAAATGGTAAGACATGCAGGAAATCGATGGATGCAGGTGGCTCAGGACCGTGCATTGTGGCATTCCTTAGTGATGTTCAGCAGTGGACTTGTGAAGGGCTGTAGTGATGATGAAGGTATGGCATTTATGACATTGAATTTTTTTTTGGTCGTTATTATCATACGGTATTTTAGTGTTAACAATAACTATTGTTATCCATATATTGACCGAGGGTGTCGTAAGAGGCGACAGAGGGAAGCTGAGGCAGAAAATGGGCGGCAGCATCTTCCTGATAACAACTCAAAATAATAAAAAACTGCGGTAGCCAATCCGCTTGCCAAGGATGGCAACTATGGCCAAAAGCCCCCCATGAGTCAATCTATGGGAGACACCTATGTTCGGCAGTGGACTTTTATAGGCTGTAATGGATGAATAGATGCATAGGTAACTTACTAAATTCAATGTTGTGAAAAAATGTTATTCACATCTGAACTAACTGACTCGCGTTTCTCTTACTCCCCGGCCAGTGCAGAGGTAATAAACCCACCCGGATACAATTTGCAAATAAAAATTTGTTTAAATTTCATATGTTTTTTTTTATAGTCGAGTTTTCTGAATTAAAATATATATATATATATATATAATATATATATATATATATATATATATATATATATATATATATATATATATATATATATATTGAATACTGATTATGATAAATGACTGCCTCGTTCGTCTATAGGACGAAGATAACGCGTAACATATATCCAAAAATAAAAATAAAAAAAACATACATTCGAATTGTAAACCTCCTCCTTCTTTAAAAAAAAAACTAATAAACTACTTTTCAACCGACTTCAAAAGGACTCAATTCGACTGTATGTGTTTATGTGTTACCTCATAACTTTTTTCTCGGTGAACCGATTTTCTTGATTCTTTTTTTTTCTTGAAAGCTGGTTCTTCTCGTGTGGTTCCATATAAATTTGATCAAGGTCTAACCAGTAATGTTTGAGTTTTTCTTGATAATCTATATTGAAGTCGGTTGTACAATTTTTTTAGTTGTTAGAAGTTTTCGTTTTAAGCTCATACTAGATTTTTTGATATTTCTTTTACTTTGTGTTATTTTATTAAACTGTAGAAGTCTCCTGCAGTAACCATGGACATCTTTGCAATATACCTCAGTACAGTCAGGTCATAAATTCTGTCACATGTTTAATATAAAATAATTGAAACAAGTTTCTTCATTATGTAACCATTTATATACCAAAATGAACTTAACAAAACATAGACTCCTATGACACTAAAGTTTATTCAAAATGACCTCCGTGATTTTGAACACAGGCCTTCAATCTGCGCGGCCAGTCGTCTATCGCAGCACGAACGAGGTCCATGTCAATATCGGCGGCTGCCTTAATCAAGGATGTCTTGAGTGACTCCAAATTGGGATGAGGCTTTGAGCACGCCTTTTCCTCCAAGTGTTGCCACATTTTGTAATCTAACGGATTCAAATCTGGACTGGAGGAGGGCCAGTCTTCATGCCGGATGAAGTCGATTTCACGCGCCGCCAGCCAGACTTGTGTGCTCTTCGCTCTATGAGCTGGCGCCGAATCTTGTTGGAATACCCAGTGCCTGTTATTGAACATGGTATGAGAAACAGATTCCACAAGGTTCGTCAGGACTGTATTTTGATACACAACTGCATTCGTTTTTACACCTTTCTCACAAAAATGTACCTCTGTTAAGCCCCAATAAGAAACTCCCAACCATACCATGAGCGAGAATGGAAAATGACCTCGTTGGACACGCGAAATACGGTTGCTCGCTTCTTCACTGCTGTTTGCGTACACCTTATCATTTTGTTTGTTGTAGGTCTCTTCTACGATAAAAATTTTTTCATCCGAAAAAAGAATTTCCCGATATTTTTTCCCGCGTACCGCTTCAACAAAGCGCGGCATCTCTTCAGTCTCAGGTCCATTAGACGAGCATTCAAACGATGTCCTGTTTTTCTTCGATATTTCCGAAGCCCTAAGTCTTCATTTAACACCCTTTTCACCGTGGTTCTGCTTAACCCCATCTGAAGGGCCAACAGTTTCTGCTTACGTTTGGGATTTCTTTGAATTCGCGCCTTCACAGCTTTTATCACTGCTGGAGTCCTAACAGACCGAGGGCGACCACTTCTTGACCTGTCATCTACACTAGAGTCTTCATTGTATCGTTTGATGGTACGATAAACGAATCTTTTGGTTATATTCAAATTTTTCGGTATGTCAAAAATTTGAATTGGCTTAACCGCAACGATGCAACGCAATAACTGTAACACGGTCTTTTTTAAGCGTCCACTCCATATTTAAAAATGAGTAAAATTCTAAAAAGTATACAGTTTTATTTTCATGAACAATTCGAAATTCGAATTCAATAAACTTTTTTGTGGCCAGCATTCCAAAAGAAAAGTTTTTACTGTGTGACAATACTTATGACCTGACTAGGTATATTATGCAAAAGAATAGCCTCCTTGGTAAATCGCGTGCGAGACAGCACCTCCTAGCTTACAGATATGGAAGATTGCCCCGTGATAAGGCACTGGAACAGAATGCATATGGTTTCCACGACCAGTTTGTTTAATAATAAATTCATAATTTCGGTATTGTGTTCTGTTAATTTACTAACCTCTAGTTTCAAGTGTACTAACAAAATGGGTCAATTTACCTGAATTATGAAAAAATATTAATAATAATAGGCCACTGCGGCAATGATAGAGATGATAGAGATGATGAGCGAGCATATATCCACCTTCTTGTAAGTGAATTAATAATAAATCACGATGTATGGAAAATTTTATTGGCAGCCGGATTGACAATCCCAGTACCAGATAAACGTAGTGATTATATTCTCTTTGGTACCAGACGCGAGCAGCTCTGGTAACTGGCCGGGGTAATAAGGGTTTGATTTTTTTTGTATATTTCAAAAATTTTCATCTTCTTTTTTCTTATTTCAGACAGCGGTAAGTGAAATTTTCATTGAGTATTTTTTTTAATTATTAAGAAACCTGATCTGGTATCACTGATGACGTGTGATATGGCACACAGACAAGCAAATGAAAGAACAAAATCCTTAAACAAAAAAACTAGTAGATATTATTATTTTCTCCTAGCATACTCGTATCTTAACCAGGACGATCAGTAATAGTCTTGCAAGATTTGAAAAGTTACTCGCGTTTAAAAAAAACCTATCAAGGCCTTCGAGAGCATGTTAAATCATTGTCTTCTGGGTGCTGGAGACTATCACGACTCTAAATCCCATTTGTAATAGAAATCATCAGTAAAAGATGGAATGTTACGAATTGCGCCAAGACCAGGGCATCATCCCTGAGCAGGGTTTATTATTAATTTGACGTGGTAGAGCTGTTATGTTTGCAGCACGAATGGGTTGACTCGACCGGGGAAGGACCACGCCCTCACGGAATACCAGCGTGAAATAGCAGCTTAATGCTGTTGACCCTTTTTACTGGAAACGAGACATTCCATCTTAGCCCTCAGGGTTTTCAACACATTTCATTTTGATTTTTAATTTATAGATGTATTTTTTTAAATAATTTTATTGTTTCGTTGTCACAAATTGATTAATACCACAGAATAAATAATAGTACAAGAACAGAAGGATCACAATCTGATAGAAAACTTGCAAGTTTAAACCTAGTTACAACGTCGCTAATGTTCATAATACTTTGCACGCCTCGGATACGACCTTAGTTAAAATAGCATACCGATTGAATCGTCGAAAAAAACATTAATGCGGCGCGCGTATTAAATCAAAATGCACCTTACGTCCGCGTGCGAGTGGCCTGTATCACTTATGCCCGGTTTCTGAAGTTCCTAGTTATCTTCACATTAGCTATTGATTCAATAAAGTTATCTATAAGATAAACGTCGGTTAACTGTCACTGCGTTTCTGAATACGCAACGAATCGTTCAACAACTATGAAACCATTAACAGGTACCATAATTTGCCGCTAGATGGGTCTGTTTAAGACATCGAGTCTAAAATTGATTTTTTAATTTCAATTCTTCATTTATACTAGTATTATTTATAAAATATATTTTTTGAGGCTAAATAAGGGGATATGCACGGTTTCGTAATAAAATATGATAATTCCATATTTATCACAAACTGTATGAATGACATCATTGTATTGTCAAATTGTTAAAAAAGAAAACAAACTCATTGCTTTTATTCGAAAGTGGTTTTCTTTTTCATAACTTTCGGATTTTAAGTTTAGTGGTATTTACTATCGTTTTTGCACTATCCAAAACATTATGGAATCTGGAAAACGTAGTAAATTTTTTCTGAAAGAGAGAAGAGTACTCGTATTCATTGCAAATCTATTAATAATTATTTTATCCCTTGAATATTTTAGTATTTAGCGCCCACTGGCAATTTATTTTAATAATAACACGTTATAACCTAAAAGTTGATGTAGTTTGGTTGAAATTAAACGTCAAATAAAGTTATAGAACCGATAAACGGCACATATTGGCCAGTTAAATTAAACTTAACTTAAACAGAGTTTATCTTACATTGCGATGTTCGGAAACGCACTTTCACAAGTTATCGAACCAATAGCGCTAACGAATAGATAAACTGCCGATAAAAGTACCTCAGAAACCGAGCATTAGCCCGTTACGCGCATTTGTTAAGGCAGCTCCTACTGTAGGGTTAGGTGTTGTGGGAAAACAAATTGAAGAATATTTGGATTCTTCACACTAGGTACACCGAATACACCGAGATGTTATGCAATGTATTCATAATTTGCTAATAAGAACATTATTGTTCAATGTAAAGACGATTAATATGCAACATCGAGAAAAATTAAGATGATAACAACGTGAACGTCTTTGAAACTCAGATAATTTACCCACTTCCCATTTTTAACCGACTTCAAAAAAGGAAAAGGTACGCAATTGGACTCTATTTGTTTATGTGTGTTACCTCAGAACTTTGTCTGTACTTCTGTTTCATTACTTGTCTTTATTTCTCTCTTTTTAAAAAATGTTACCTCCATACTAAGAATTTACCCTGTATCGCGGGGCCAGTTTACATGACAAACATCGGCCCTTAGCGCTGCAACTCATTGCTAAGCCACTGCGCCACGGAACCGTCCCTTGTCTGTTTCACATTTTTTGCTATTTACAAAGATGCGACACGTGGACGGCATTATGCAGGCATAAGTGGCAATGATACGTGCTGCTATTTTCAATTTCTTTCTTTTATCGACCAAGTGTTAAAGTAATAACCAGTATATGCTGATCTTGCATTAGTAAGCAGTCACTGGTACTGGGAGGTCGACTTACACTGAAGGTATTTTAAGGCTAGGCTGGTTCTTTTCTCGCTCAAAGGCTAAGTATAGCCATTCAGCGGGGAAACGCGGCCAGCGTTCTTGGCACGATACCGCGGGGAGTAGGACTATATGATAATTAAGTTTCTAGTTTTAGTTTTTTTTTTATTATTATAGTTTTTAATATAGTTTGAATTAAATATATTAAAATAAACTTTTAAGGTCATTGGCGTTATACGCGAAAAAATCGAAAAATTATCTAGATCTACCTATAAATAATAATATCTAACCTTTCGGTGTCCTTAGGATCAGTATAGAATGAAAAGTTGACATTTCTATTGTTATTTAAGCACCCGCATGCTGTGCAGTACCTTTTGGCTTTTTGAGAGGCCATATTTGAATAAAAACTCAAAAATAAATATCAAAAGTGCCTAAATACTTATAAGTGAAAAATACTTTTTTGTTAACGTAAGGCGCACATCAACCTCACGGAATCAGCCCCTTGTATGGGGCCGCGTAGCATAATATACCTACCTGTTTCATGCCCAAACTGCGAAGTGAGATAGACTTGTTAATACTAAGGTACGTGAGGGTAATATGATCACTTTAATCTTTGCCGCCCTATAAAACCAAAACTAGGCGGAGGACAGAGACAAAAATACAAAGTCATATAATTGACTAATATAATAAGAAAAAAATAGCAAACAAGCTTTAGCAATATTTAGGAACACTTCGAAAAAACAACTTAAAAACAACGAACTACACTATACAATACTATAATCGATTAAAATATTTACTACAATGTCAACCGTCAAAATGGCGATATTTGATTGACTGATCTATCGTATCGCTATCGTATCACAGAGCCATCTATACAAACAAGGATGTAGTTTTTGAGTTATAAGAAAATGACGATATTAAATGGATGAATATTTTATCCTAACGTACTTATTTCTTTAAATTTAGATTCCAAAATATTGTATAACCGTAGCAAATAAAATGATAAAAAGTGTCTTAACAAGAATAAGATAAAATCAATTTGAATAATAGAATAGGATACTTCAAAAATAATAAATACAAATAAAACTTCGTAAAATAAAAAAAAAGAATGAAAAAAGAAATTTAAAAAATAAATAAACAAGAGTGTAAGAAAATTATTAAATATTAAAATATTATAAAAGGTAAGTACGCCTAAGAAAAAAAAAAGAAGTGACCTGTGACCTTACAGTTTTTTAATCGTGCAACATTTTTTATTTCAGCGAAAGGTAATTTTTCATTTGATTATCTTCATCACCATCATTACACTCTATCTAAATCCTTAAAATTCCACTGCTGAACATGCCTCACCCATAGATTACCATATAAATATCATATTTCCGACGCTTAACAATCGGGTAGGTTTTTTATTATTTTTATTCTATACGGAAGACGCTGCTGGAGCCATGCTGCAGCTATATTAGTAGTATAGTTGTAGCACGAACGGGTCGGCTTGACAGGGGAAGGACCACGCTCTCACAGAACACCAGCGTGAAATGGCAGCTTGACACTGCTGTGTTTCGTATGGTGAGTGTAGAGAACCGGAGACCCATTTTACTGGAAAAAAGACATTCCATCTGAGTCCTCACGGGTGCCGACGCATCTGCATTTTGATTCTTTGCTGAGGATAAATGTAGATGTCTATGGGTCACAGCAACCACTTACCATCAGGTGGACTGTGTGCTCGTTTGTCACCCTATCCTATAAAAAAAAAAAGAAACATTTACTTAAAAAAAATCTCAAACATTCTGTCCTTTTTATGCTTTAAATTTGAAATGCGTGGTAATGCATTATTTTAACATTCATAAATATCTAACGCCTACTATTTTACTACGCTTGCACACATTCGTAACGGTCGCTCGGTCGGCAAAAACGTTGTGATTAGTTCTAAGCACAGGCGCAAAGCAGCCAGCCTTTCCGTATTCCACAGGATACAACTCGGAGAATGTGTGCACGAATCGAACCCGCGACCCACCACCATCAAACATTCGAACCAAACGTTTTTCTTCTCCGTTCATAATGCAAACATCAGAGGAGTGTAATAGTTTATAAGCATCAGTCTCTCTTCAAGGCAAGAGTAAAGAGGCTCTTGTTAACCTAATTCCGTGTGCTTCACCATCTTCGGCTGCATCACCACTTACCGTTAAGTAAGCTAGCAGTTAAGCACTGGTTAGTAACAGTTAGAAAAAATATGTGATTATTTTGTTATTTTGATTCTCACGAGGATCATCACAGGTCATGATTCTGACGTGGTAGAGCCACGCTGCAGCTATATTATGGTTGTATCACGAATGGGTTGGCTTGATCGGACGGACTATGCTCTTACATCGCAGGGCAACAAGAAAAATCAAGTATTAAAGCACATGCGTAAAAGTGAACAAACATAATGGCTGCCGGAAGCTGCCGTTATTGTGGGTTTGTCTATGGTCATCAGTACTGCCAACAACCAAATGACATGAATATTTTCGTTCAAAATTTTACAGATATAATGATGCTGATGTATATATACCATTGTAAAATAGCAGCTTTATGCTGCTGTGTTTCCTCTGTGGAGTATAAAGAACCGGAGACCATTTTCACTGTAAGCGAGGCGTTTCATCTTAGTCCTCAGGGGTAACAACGCATCTGCATTTTGATTCTTAATCGAGAATAAATGTAAGATGGCTATGGGCCACAGCCTCTACCTCGTTTGTCACCGTTATATTCTATAAAAAAATATAAATTTTAGTTTTTGTAAATGTATTTAAACTCTCTTTTTAATCTGATTGAATTTAAATTCTAATACGTGACTTTTTCAGCGGTGACCATCCATCGGATAATGAAAAGAGTTGCACCAAACGAAGGCGAGCAGTTCGAGGAGATGATTCCTTACAGTTGTGATGATTGTGCTGTCACTAAGGTACCTAAATATAATTAATAGAATCAATGAAGAAATAGAATCAATGAATGAGAAAATTATATAATGGATTTCCGCAAAATAAAAAATTATTTTGCGGAAATCCATTATATAATAAAGATCTTAAAAATTAATTTACTTATTACTTATATAATTTACATATAAAATAAAATTGTTTTTTAATTGGCTTTACGGCTCTGGGTTCTAGCCCTTCTGAGCCTTAAAATTATGTGTGTTAAGGTGCTTTGGCGTTATTACGAAAATGGGGAAATTCCGATATTTACAAATTACGACTTAACTAGGCAATATTTTTTGCTCTGGTAGCTTTATTCTAGACTACATTTTATTTATCTCCCTCGCTTAAGTCGTTTCAGGTAGCTAGTCTCAATAGTGAGCGTGCAAAGTTAACTTTTCGGTGGAAACAGCTTTTTTCAACTCGGTTTTTCGGCATTACCCCGCGTTCATTATCTTAGGAATTTGCTAAGTAATCTTAATGATTGTATGATTTTATGATAGATAATCGTTTTTAAAGCTTTATTTTATAGGTTAGGACTAGCCAGCTATTGTTTTTGTGTTTTTTTTTTCGGAAATACCCCACAGGGTTAGTTACGGATTAATGGACTATCGAGCTACTTTTCCATTGTAGTTTCCAGTGGCTGTCAATCTTTCGTCAGCATAAATTGTTATTTTGGATAAGTTTAACAAGTTTGCGAATTTAACCAACGGGAGTGGGCAAGGCGTACCTACCGCAATGCCAAATATATAGACATAGTCCAGACGGAATAGGCGCATGAGTACCGAAAACTATTCCACATCAAATTGTCTTTCTGATGATATAAATGCATGTTGCCAAGGGGCAACTCGGTGCCGTAGGTGTTGTTTAAACTTGAATTGTTATTTTTAAACTAGACTAGACTTTTTGCGACAAAGTTAATATCTTCAAAATTCTGCAAAATAAATACAAAATGTCCTATGACGTTTTACGATAAAGTTAATATTTTCGCAGTTATGAGAGGTTTGAGAAATACCGAATTCTGATACTTTGACTCATTAAAAATATATAAAGAAATGTACAAAAAAATATTTTTTTTACTCTCGCTTACCTGTTATAAAAGTTTGAAGAAACCTCTTTAACTGGCCTAATAACTGTCCAACTACGGGAACACAAGGTGCCTTAAATGTTTAGAGCCACTGGACTTTATGTGGGGTAATTTCGAAAATTCAAGTGAGCAAAATATAGTTAAATTAGAAACATAAAATATCTATCAATGCTTATTGTAGAGGGGTATAGACGAACCAAAAGTAAATCTAAACCTTCTGTCAAAAGTCAAAAAGGAACAACACTTTACCGAATTTTCGGTTTTTCCCCGCGTCATATCGGAATTATGACGGCTCCATGGCGTAGTGGCTTAGCAATGCGTTGCAACGCTTGGGGCCGCGGGTTCGAATCCCGTACGGAACAAGTATTTGTATGGCCTACAAATAATTGTTCCGGGTCTGGATGTTTGTCCTAGTGCAATATATGTTTGTAAACTGCCTCCACGATACAGGAGAAAATCCTATTGTGGGGGTAACGTTTTTTAAAGAAAAAGAAAAAAAAGAAATTATATCTTATCCAGAAGAAAAATATGTCAAATTTTAAATGATTGTATTTACGCAACGCAAAGAAATTTTATTATGATGAATAACAAAATAATTAGGATATGTATTTCAATAAATAATAGTGACATGAGTTGATTGTAAACTTGGATAGATTTCTTAAAAATAATTATTAAATATGCATCGTATCAACTAATCAGAAAATGTCGTATTTACCTCAAAGCACCCTACCTAGTCTGAAGCACCTCCCGCGCTGCCTCAATTGCGTGCACTATCCCCGTCACCCGACTACTCTCAACACCACCACACCAGGAAAGACACACCACAGTCGATAATACAACACGTGTTTCGCCTCTAAGTTAGCGGTGACACTTGCTGCGTTAGTGCACGCAATTGAGGCAGGTAGGGAGGTGCTAAAGATTAGGTAAGACACATCATTTTAATTTATTACGCGGATATAATAAGCAAATTAATTTTTCTACCGACTTCAAAAAGGAGACGGTACTCAATTCGACTGTATGTTCTTTTTTTATGTGTATAACCTCATAACTTTTTTACTGGGTGAACCGATTTCGATGATTCTTTTTTTATTTGAAAGCTGGTGCTTCTCATGTGGCCCCATATAAATTTGATCAAGGTTTGACCAATAGTTTTTGAGTTATTCTTAATAATTTATATTGAGGTCGGTTGTACAAAATTTTTAATTGGCATATCCTTAATACTAAGGTGAAGGCTATTTTTTACGATTTCGTACGTTAAAAGGCTTTTAGATGCTTCTTCTTCTTCTTCTTTTAAATTATGGCTTCTCTTGATAGAATTCTGCCAGTGTCATATAAGTCATAGATGCTTCTTTCTCCGCTGCATATTTATCCAGCGTGAAGTAAGCGTGCGACATTAGGTCGGCAAAAAGTTAAGGGCCTAAATTGAATGGGTCGGCTCGACCGGGGTGGGACCACGCTCTCACAGAATACCAGCGTAAAATAGCAGCTTAACGCTGCTGTGTTTCGTATGGTGAGTGTAGTAGAGAACCGTAGACCCTTTTTACTGGAAACGAGGCATTCCATCTTAGTCCTCAGTTATTGTATAAAAAATGACAATGCACTTCTTTCCCCAGATCTTCGTGAACGGCATACCTGTGCCAAGCTCAAGAAGAAGTAACGGTGGATCCAGCAGCTTCGCTGTTGTAAGTCTCAAAAACAACTGGTTAGAGTCACTCTTCAGCTCAAATAGGTTAACTCAACACGGGTAAGGACCAAAGGCGTCGCCAGCTGACAACTCAGAGGTGGGGGGACGGGTAGGGGGGGGGGGGAGGTAAGTAGATATATAGAGGATGGGAAAGTGTAGGTACAACTGCACATGAAGCTTTACACTTCTTTTCCGAGACTTAGCCTTACGGCGATTGTAATAAGAACAGTACAAATTCCAATGTGTTCTCTTGACTGTACAATTAATAAGAGTGATTACTTTGCATTTTTGTAGTATCTAGAGGAAGTGGGGGGGGGGGGGGGGAACTCTTCCCATGCTCTTACAGAATATTAGCGTAAAGCATCAACTAATGCTGCTGTGTATCGTACGAGTGAAGAGAATCGAAGACCTTTTTTATTGATAGCTATCCATTCCATGCTAGTTCTCAGGGTTGACAACGCATCTCCTTTTTGATCTTTAATCGAGGATAGATATAGGTTTCAATCAGGTGGCCTTTATCCTACTTGTAACACTTGCTTTTATTGAAAAAAAAAAAAGATATTTTTGCCATTGACTCTCTGTCTGCTATGGTATTAACAAGATGCCAAAAGAAATTAAATCATTTTTGACGTGAATATTACGACTTTAAATATACCATCTACTTCCAAAATTTAATTATACCACTCGAGAAATAAGAGATCAGAGAATTCGTTAGGGTGAGTGAGTGAAGACTTTGACCATAGATAAATATATATGTAGGACTTTGACGCGTCATGCGACGCGGAAGGGGCAGCGCCGCCATTTTGAGTTTTTATTTTTATTTTAAGATTTTTGGCTAGATGCTTGTCCTTTAAGCCATGTCTACGTTTCGTTCAGGAATTAGAAATCTTCTTTACAATATGCGAATGCGTCACATTGAAAAGTTTTTGGGTGATTTTGATGACAGCTAAGGCCAACGGATAGTCGATGATGACAGTATCTCAAGTTCGTATGGTGCCTAACCGAACAAAATAACTTGACGTTAATATCTAAATCGGAACACTTTGACGGCGTGGTGGCGAAGTGGCTTAGCAATGAGTTGCCGCGTTAACAGCCTCGGTGCGGGTTCGAATTCCGCACGCAACAAGTATTTGTATGGCCTACAAATAATTGTTCCGGGTCTGGATGTTTGTCCTTGTGAAATTTATGTATGTAAACTGTCCCCACGATACAGGAGACAATCCTAGTGTGTGGAAGTAACGTCTTTAATAAAAAAAAAGATAAACGATATTTAATATATTAATATATAATATTCAACTTTTACGTATAAAGTTCACTTTAAACCTTTATTCAAACGATAAAACAGGAGACACAATCCGCCGACGGTCAATTTCCCGCCAAAAACTCCTAGTTTTGCCGCCAAAACTCTGCCTCCCTGTAGTTTAAGTAGCCCTTACACTAATACACTTCGAGGATCAAAGGATTTAAAGTGTAGTAAAGCCATGCTGCAGTATATTATGGTTGTAGCATGGGTCGGCTCAGCCGGGAAAGGACCACGCTCTCACAGAATACCAGCTTAATACAGATGTTTCGTATGGTGAGTGCAGAGAAACGAGCCTTTCCATCTTATTTTTCAAGGACAACAACGATTCTAAGTTTAATTTAGGATAGAAATGTAGATGTTTTTTAACTGACAGCATCCAATGAGGACTAATAACTTTCTGCTCACCAGATGTCGCTAGTTGACACTGTGGTAAAGTTTTTATGTTACTCAATGTCATTTAATTCAGAAGTTAATTTCAAATAAAAGTATATCATTTTCTATAGTATTATATTAATAACAAACAATTCCTCAGTGGTTTGCTCTTTAATTTCTTGCACATTTTTAACTTTATTTATATTTTTCTACTTTTATGAATATCTGTGGCTTGGTTTTTTTATTTTAAATCATTTTTAATCGAATTAATATAAAATATAGCTAACTAGCTCGCCAGACAGACGTTGTTCTGCCCTTTCCAACGACCCTTATTATAAATATCCTTAAATTCGCAATAAAAAATTTTGAGGGTCATTTAGCGGGATAAAAACTATCCTATCTCTCAAGCTGGACCAAAATGCACACAGTGTGCAAAATTTCATTTAAATCAGTTTAGTAGTTTAGGAGTCCATCGCGGACAAACAACGTGACACGTAATTTTTATATATATAAAGATAATACAGAAATAAACATTAACCTTTACATTTTCCGAACTAATTAACTTCCCCGCTAACCCCACTTAAAAGTGAGCTATATTTGATATATGAAAAATGTCAAATATAGCTCACTTTTAAGTGGCGCCGCCCACTGGTGGTAGAAAAAGTCGTGGATGCCCTCATTGCTATCAGGTGGACTGTATGCTCGTTCGTCACCCTTATTCTACGAAAGAAAATATTTGCCTTCTTCTTTTTTTAATTTGACAAATATTTTAGGTGACGTCCACATCGATCACAATCCGCATAGTAGACTACTCTCCAACTTACGAGGGTGTGTACCAAGCCGTATTTGCGGCAGGGAGGGAGTATGTCACGAAGACCATTATGGAAATCACGTAAGTATGTCGATTTCTTGGTAAGACCGGTCACCATTACAAAGTTACAAAAAAATAACAGTCTGTATACGTTCCATTCTACCATGACCGTCTCATTGGTCTAATGATCGTAACGTAACCGCTGTTCGGAGGTACCGGGTACGAATCCCAAATTGAACTAAAATGAGTTATTGGGTTTTTATAGCATATTGTACCCCTTCTGTGTTGCTATATATCGGGGAGGCCTATGTTCATCAGTGGACTTTTAATAGGCTGTACCGGTGACGGTCCTGCAGTAGCCACTTCACCGTGGCAGAGCCATACTGCAGCTATATCATGAGCGTAACACGAATGGATCGGCAAAAAGGACCACGCTCTCACATAATAAAGCAGCGTGAAATAGCATCTTAATGCTGCTGTGTTCCGTATGGAGTGTAGAGAACCGGAGACCCTTTTTACTGGAAACGAGGCATTCCATCTTAGTCCTCAGGGGTGACGATGCATCTGCATTTTGACTCTCATAGAAGACAGATGTAGATGTCAATAGGCCACTGCTTCTACTTACCATTAAGTGGACTGTGTCCTCGTTTGTCACCCTTATTCTATAAAAAAAACTTACCATTACCAACTGTAAGTTCGTCTGTCACATTCGTTATATTAAAAAAAAGATCGTCAATTCCGTTAAATGCTATTTTTAACCCACGACGCAAAAAGAGGGGTGTTATAAGTTTGACCGCTATGTGTTTGTATGTCTGTCTGTGGTACCGTAGCTCTTAAACGGAGGAACCGATTTGAGTGCAGTTATTTTTATTTAAAAACGGGTATTCTAACAGTGGTTCTTGGACATGTTTTATCAAAATAGGTTCATCCGTTTCAAGGTCATCGGCTGTTTTGTTAGCTGCGGAAGGGTTCTTTTGTGGGGGTTTTTAAAATTTTTCAATTTAAGTTATGCATTTATGAGTGAACAACTTATTCTTTCAGGGATGATCGTAAAGGACTTCTACTCGAAAAAAACAAAAATGACACACCAGAGGAAGAGGACGCAACGTCCGTCAGCGGTAAATATATCTGTCATCAGTTGCGGAAGTTATCATTGTCTGGGTGTACACGCCCCTAGTTGCCCCGACAAAGGTCGACTATACAGGGGCCCATACAGCTGTAGATTCGACAGACAACTAAGGGTGGGGCTCGAAATGCCTAAGGATAATCAATATATATTAGGGCTAGGTAAATAAATAGGACGTACCTGGTTCCGAAGCTAAGACTGACCACAAGGCTCGGTCAGGCGGTAGGTAGGTGCATTAAGTTTGTGTTAGAAGGTGAGTATGTGTGTGACCTGACTTAACCGAGGTGATCGGGCAGCGGCCTGGTCCGATGATGCCCCACGATGTGGTCTCACTCCAGCGGACGTCACCAATTGAAAACTGCTGACTTCATTTCACTATTTCAGTTTATCAACTTTATTGTACACTATTTCAATCTATCAACTTTATTGTACATTTAATTAACTTCAAACTCAACTAAATCCCCGTTAATCGTAATCAAACACGTGACACACGGCACAACTAATGAACGGTTGATCAAAGTTCAACTTCCGTTTTCATTTTGCAACAAATTATTTCTAGAAACGAAACGCGACCTTCTCTCGGGTCACAAAGTTCCGCGTTCCACACAACTAAGATTCTTTCGTACGATATTAACAGGCCACTCAAGCAAATTAAATATTGCAAATGCTCTTCAAAATGCAATCACTATACAAATTGACGTAAATTACTTGCAATCAAAGGTAAGTCATTTTAATCACTCAACACTTAGACAGGCCTCGTTATTGCGTAAACACACTAAATGATAACTCAAAATAGAAGCGATCTTAAAGCGACCTCACGAGTCTAGTGAAAAAACTGCAAGAGTAAATTCCACACGCATCAAAGACCGGACGTTGATCGCAATCAGTATTAACTTTCAAAACAATTAATCTACCCGGCGTCCGCGCAGACAATCTATTTTTCTAGACTCAACAAACTCCTCGTCGTTGCATAAACTTGCTAACAAAAACTGACACTATTTAGAGGTTATACGGTACGCGACCACGCTGTCCTAGTGACTGCTCTGCATTAATAACTTCCAACGCACCACAATTACTCAAACTCTAGACCATCAAAAACAAAACTGGCCGCGCACAACAGATCCAGCGGTCGCAAACAATACAACTAGTCGACAGAGCCGCTACGGTCAAGCTTCTGTCGCTAGCCCACGAGACCGAACGCCGGGAAGCTGCATACCGCTGTTCCGTGTGGGATTCGAAGCCGCGGCCCCCAGGGCAACAACTCATTGTCAAGCCTCTGCGCCACGGAGCCGTCGAAAGCCGTGTATAGAAACGGAGACCCTTTTTTACTGAAAAGGGGCCATTCCATCTTAGTCTCAAAGGATGACAATGCATCTGCATTTTGATTCTTGATCGAGGATAAATGCAGATGTCTATGGGCCACAGCATCAATAATATAAGTATAAGGGTGATAAACGAGCTCATTCATTACACTTATTCTATAAAAAAATACCGCAACCACACGCTTCACCTAAGCTCGAATAGATAACTCTTTATGGTACACCAAAACAATACACGAACTCAAGAAGATGGAGTAAAAAGATTTTAGAATTACAAAGGGCGGTCTTACTGCTAAAAGCGATTCTTTCAGACAACCTATTGGTAGACAGGATCGCAAAAGGTAGAAAATTGTGTGGTTTGATGATGCAAAAATAGAATATTTATATATCTATATATAATACTAGCTGACCAGGCAGACGTTGTTCTGCCCTTTCCGACGACCATGTGTCCTAAAAAATCCTTAATTACACAATAAAAAAAATTGAGGGTCACTTATCGGGATAAAAACTATCCTATCTCGCAAGTTGGACCAAACTGAACACATTGTGAATCATTTCATTGAAATCAGTTCAGTAGTTTAGGAGTTCATCGCGTACAAACAATGTGATACGTATTTTTTATATATAAAGAGTAATTTTTATATATAAAGATATAGACAAAATAACATATAAACACATGAAAATACGAATATATATGTTGGAACTAGCGGGAATACTACGTCAGGAAAGGTTAATTGTTAAAAATAGTAAAAGTGTGAGAGCGGATGTTCAACTTGCTTTCTTGCTCACGCAATTAATCATTAGCGGCAATAAAACAGCGTAACTGCACTATACATTCAGTATAGGCAGACATTTTGACCATACCGTATTATGACCTCGTCACAGTTACTCACTGGTGTAAAGTGAAGGACATAATTACACGATAACACCAAAGTATGCGAACCAACAGAGACACTACCCATCTCAATGTAACACAGGACAGCCTCCCTGCGACACCATCCTCCTTGCCTGCACCAGAAGACTCACCACAGCGGACAGAACCACGACTCGTATCTTAGTACGCGTACAACGACTTCACTCGTAGAATGACTCAAGAAGAATCTCCCACGCTCTGCACCTACACTGAACTTTATACTGCACAAACAAGGGGGGGGGGGGTTCTCGAAATACCCTCAATTTCAACTCGCCACCATCGATATGACGTCCCGCCAGAGTGACACAACCTCTCTCTCACTCTCGATCCAACCGGTATCTTATAAACGCGCCTACATATGCACATAATTGTTAATTGAAAGGACCACGCTCTCACAGAATACCAGTGTTAAATAGCAGCTTAATGCTGCTGTGTTTCGTATGCTGAGTGTAGAGAACCGGAGACACTTTCTACTTAAAACGTGATACTCCATCTTAGTCCTTATGTGCGACAACGGACAACGAATCTGGATTTTGATTCTTAACCGAGGATAAATATAGATTTATAGAAAAAATTGGACGCTGTGGCTCATAGGAGCTATTTATCATCAGATGGACTGTGTGTTCGTTTGTCACCCTTATTCTAGATAAAAAAAATGCTTCTCAAAACCAAATAAAGACGTAGTGCAACTCGCTGACATAGTGTAGCATTCTATAGACTGACTGCTTGAATAGTTAACAACCTGAACTAGGGTGTGTTCCGATATGCACTGTGACCACTGAAATGTGAGACGTGAATTCGGTACACTGTGAAGCTGTTCCTATTTAGTTTACTATGCTGGTTACTGTTTAAAACGCAACGCAGTCCAGTATACGGTCATTCCCACTTTTTGACACTGTTTTCAAATGAAAATATTTATCATTTAGGTACACGTTTTCTGTTCAACAAGAAAAATTATTATTTGAATGTTGTTGCTTTTAAAAGTTAATGTCCGAGTTTATTTAAATAATAATATTAGTTAATTAATAATAATTATTATTCGTGAAAGCTGTTAAATCTCTAAGCGCTGTTTTATTTATTTATTTATTCTTTATTGCATTCCTTAATCTAAAAGAATACAAAGGGCGGACTTAATGCCTTGAGCCGTTCTCTACCAGTCAACCCATGGAATGGTGGGAATTTGAAGTAGGTGTAGCAATATAGAATAAAAATAAAATAAAAATGAATATTAATTATATTGTATATACATTTTACTAATATATACAATAAATAAACTATAGAAATATCTCCTATTTATATATACATATATACATATCAACAGATATATATAAATTGTACATATAAATGACATGAATGATTCGTTGTCTATAATAGATGATTACGCACCAACTTTTTAAAAGCAAACTGTTTTTTGATCACATGATCATGAAAGAAGAGAAGAGAAGAAGAAAATACTACTGAGAGCACCTTACCTCGAAAGCGCCAGTGCTCACAGAACAAAAATGGCGGCGATTTATGACGTCATATATTTCCTTAGGATACTGCGGCAGTATACTGACAGTTCTTAACAAATCGAATTTTTCACCAGTGAGAGCACTGAACAGTGTTCGCAGTGTATATCGGACAAAGAGATTTAATATATATATATATATATATACTTAAATTTAGCTAATGCGTGTGTGATGCCCTCTAGCTAAAAATAGCAAAACTACGCTATCATTTATTAA